TCTTCGGCTCCTTGGGAGAGAGGGGTTGTGACGAGCTGGGCGTTCTCTTTCTCGAAGAAAGGCAAGCCATTCACAGTGAGCTGCAAGCCAGACAAAGGGACACAGGACGAGAATGCACACGGCGTGTCTGTCTTCGAGCAGGGATCTTCTGTGGCTTTCTACTTCGTCGTTTGTCTGTTCGGTGGCTGCCGAGCCGCTGCACCAGTTGATTTTACTCGCACCACCTGACGTGGCCTCCGTTTGCTGTACTTGTGGGAAGCCAGGGCACGGTAGAGTGTGCAATGGACGATAGTCGCCACAGACTCATTTGACTGCAACCAACCACAGACTCATTTGACTGCAACCAACCATGCACACACAGTGACACAGATACACACATAGTGACACACATACACACAGTGACACACATACACACACACACACAAACACACGTCCGTCATGAACTGGGCGCAACCAATGTCATAAAATGAGCGCTCATGACCAGCTTGGCACACGAACCGAGCTGTGACTGAAGCTGAGGGCCTGCATGAAGCTGGAACAGTGTATACTCATATTGATGGCCCACTCATACTCGCACCGCATGTCAAAGCCTATAGCTCCCCCGTTGCGACAGCTTCCGAGTTGTCCAGCCTTGCTATGGGGGAGGAAACACGTCACTCCACCTGTAGTGAGGTGCGTCCTTCCCCACTTTGCAGACTAGAGACTCATTTAGCGGTCGTGAAGCCGCTGGCAAAACACTGAACCACCTTGAAACACTCGATGCAGCCACCTTTTGGCATGTATGATAGCATGTATGATAGCATGTATGTCTCCCGACACCTACTCATCCCTTCAGCCGCTGCGGGCCTGTGGCTCATCACCCAGTGCAACGGAAGTAGAAACTGGTCAAAAGCTTCGTGCATGGTGTACAAAAAGCCCACCCCCGCTCCTCTGGGATTACATCATTGCCAAAGTGGGGACTGCATCTTTCGTTCCCGCACAATAGGCGCGACTTGTGCGCCATAGCTGGCCCTGTGGCCGGAAGGCTGGCATGTCTGCCCGTGGGGCCAGCCCTGCAGGTGGATGTCCAGCCCTGTGAGTGCAAGGCTGGCCATCTGTGCAGGGCTGGCCCTGTGTCTGCAGGGCTGGCCCAGTGCAACACTGGCCCCGTGAGTGCAGGGCTGGCCCTGTGGCCGCAGGGCTTGCCTTCTGGCTGCGGGGCTCGTCCCACAGGCGGACATGCAGCCTTCCGGCCGCAGGGACAGCTTTGGCGCACAAGTCGCTTGTATTGCAGGCCCGTTGCCTGCATGTGCTGAGACACACGGGCAATTGCGAAGGGTGGGCTGGCACGCGGGGGAGACACAATGACGTTGGCTGGCCACATCCGGTCCGCTCGTGTAAATTTCTTAGTGGCGAGAATTCGAGACGGTTCTCAAAAGAGGCACATTTTCTTTATGGCAGCAATCTGCACCGTTTCTCTGTGCCTTTGGCTCCTCGTGGTATTCCTTCTTGCTCCTCCAAGTCCCTTGAGGCAAGAAAAAGCAGGAGCCCATCGTAGCCCTCCGGCGCTCCCCCCCCCCTCCCCCAAAAAAATGAGTTTCAACGAGACGATGGCTTGTGTGATGGTCTTCACGGTCAACCTCTTCGAAAAGGGGCCGCTGAAGGCCATCACACAGCAGCTGCGGGACCTGCGAAACGGGGTGGACTTCGCCGAAGTTGGTGAGGACAGACATGAGAGACTCTGAGGACAGAACACGATAGGGCAAGCCGATGACAGGAACACTCTTGTGTGCGATTTCACATATTCGCAGTCGCGAGGTCCGACAAGGCGGAAGAGGACGCGGAGGTCCAGCGGTTCCTGGGGGAGATCAGGAGGGCCAAGGCGAGAGTCCTCGGACTCATGGGTGCTCAGGTATGCCGCTTGGCGGAGGGGTCAACCATTGCTCATCGCCGACCGTGAGGATGCGGGCGAGCTGATTTTGGTCAGCGGCACACAGACGACAGAGACAGACAGGACACGGAATTGCAAAGCGCTCTTCTGTCCTCTGCCCTTTGTTGTGCTGCGTAGCAGAGGGAGTTAGAATCGTTGCCTGCATTTTATATTGGATGGCAATTGTACTCACTTCGCACCTCCGCCAAGGTGAGAGCGTAGACACACGCCATTTGGGCACATGCATCGCTTCGAGATTGTGTGATTGTTAGATTGATGAAGAAGCCGTGAGGGCAGGTGAGACGGGCACGGCGTGTGTGTGTCGAGACTCATTCATACAACGTGTCTGTGTCAGCAACGAGAGAATGTCTGGCTGACACACCGACACACACACGCTGTATGAATGAGTCTGGACACAACCACGACATCGATCCATTCGAACCGTCACAAGCCCACCACTTTGCATCCATACACCCAGGAATAGAACAGTCGTCAGTCCGTCTTTCCACCAGCTGTACACACACCTACACCTTTCGGTGCACCAACCAATGCATTGCATATATCCCCATTCAATCAGCTCGTCTTCACCTTGCCCTCCCCGCCTCCCACCCACCCCCTGCCCCTCTCTGGCAGCATCAGCACCAGCACCACGGCAAACAGAAACGGCAAGTACACGAACCACACCACCGCCATGCTCATGCCCTCCACACACCGATAGTCCTGAGCCATGCGATACACCGCAAACAGTGGCCGCTCGTGTGGCAAAGGGCTGGTCTGTTGAGCGACGGCCTCCCCCACTTGCCGCAGCCAGGCCAGCAGCCGTCTTGGCCCGTACTTGGCGAACTGCCGGGGCACAGAGTGCGACCAGACGGACAGCAGCAGTGAAGCCACTGAAGCGACGCTGTGGCCGATGAGACGGATGGCCTCGTGACGGATGTGCAATACCCATTCTGCCATTGTGCTGCCGTGGGCAGCGCCATCTTCCTTTCTGTGTGACAGGTTGGCGTCGAAGAGTAGCAGCCATGTGAGCAGCAGATAGCGCAGGACGAACAGATGGCTTCGTCGCAGCCGAGGCCGCCATTTCCACCGCCATCTGCCGCTGTGCTGCGGGGGCGATTGGGCGGTCGTCTGTTGCTGCTGTGGCGCATCGATGAGTGAGGTAAGAGGCTCCACCAGCAGGAGCGGCGGGACCACTAATGGCGTCAAGTACACTGACGCAGCCCAGTTGTACACCTGAACAAAAGGGAAGGGGGTCGACACCAAATGAATGGATGGATGGATGGATTCGGTTTGGCTCGCTCACCGTGAGTGGTGCCAATGTGAGAATGGCCATCGCCCTCGCCACACTCTTGACGCACATCCACAGCGGCGGCATCTCACGGATGCTCGGCTGCCCTTCACCCGTCGCTTCGTTCCCCTTTGCCACGCTGTCGCCTTTGGCTGGCTGGCGTGATGATCGTGGCTGTCGAATGAGCGCCTCACTGACCAAACAGATGAGACCGACGGCGGCGTAGCCCATCAGCGCCACCCACACCCACACAGACGCCTTCTGCAACGCACAGCACAGCACAGCACACGGTGAGTGGTGCGGTGCCGTGGAGTGCAGCCTCTCGATGCACTGGCCTTTCTGGCCATCCGCACTTGGCGTTTGTCGTGTGCAGCTGCTGGTGTGCATGAGGGGGTGAGGGGGCCTGCATGCCTCCAGCGAAGGAGGGAGGGTGCTGATGTGAGCAGACCCCCAATGCCCCAAGATGACAGCTGGTCCACAAGACCACTCTGAAGAAAAGACAAGGGCCAACCTGCAAACCGAAGTTCCCCGCTTTCTGGCTGTGTGTGACCGATCTCACCTGTGTGGCGAGTGCAAAAGACGTGAGGCTGCCTGTGATGAGGCCCGAGAGCATGACGGTGGCGCCAAGCATCACAGCTCCCACGTCACTAAACACCCTACACTGAAACGTCTGACGACCAAACCAGCACCAGACAACACAGACAAAGCCATCCATCCATCCATCCGTCCATTGGCTGACCGCTGCGGCGAGCGGCATGAGCATGCCGAACACGGGGTAGAGGTAGAGGCCCGACGACACGTGGCTGTTGGGGCTGGTGAAGAAGTAGAAGTTGAAGGAATGGTGCAGCGCCTGCAGGGCGCTGCTCTGGCAACGCAAGATGCCCTCCAACGAGCTGCATAGACACGCACAGCATACACACAGAGAGAGGGAAGGGGATCAGTGCACATGGATCTTACCCGCCCAGCTGAGTGAGTTTGGGCTGGCCGTTGCCGCCCCGAGGGTTAGACGAGGCCACTGCGGTGAACGCAGGGATAGCACGCCTGACGGCAACAAGGGCAGGAAGCAAACAAGTCATTGCGTGATGATTCTAGATGCGTGTGTATGTGGATGAAGAGCTAACTGCAGGAAGGCCGAGTGGATTCGGTCGGCCCCGGCATCGGTGGCCATTCGGTTGACGGAATCCCAGGCCTCTCTAGGCTCCGCGCGGATGCCGTCCTGCTTGGCCTCTATCGCATAGGCGTTGACCAGGTCCTGGTTCGGCTGCAGACCGTTCACACCCTCTGCACACAGACACACATACTCAAGACCCATTTAGTTGCAAATGCTGTGCGTACCGATGTCCAGTGTCACGGCGACTTGGTTGGGGCGGTGCTTGTCGATCTCGAATATGACGGCCTGGCGCATGAGGCCCCTGCGGGGAAAGGGCGCCTTGTCACGCAGATAGCCGTCAAGGAACGCACGGACGCCTGCAGACAAACCCACACATATCCATCCATTCCTCCGCTGTGCACAGCCGTCTGCCTGTCTGTGTCTGTCTGTCTGACCTGCGGCGTAAGGCAGCGTCCGGTCGGTGAAGATCACAATGACGTCACGCGCAAGCCACTGAACCGTCTGCAGATAGTCCGCCAGTGCGAGCCCCAGTGCGGGAGTGGCCGTGTCGTCCCTGTCACGCCAGTCCGAGGCCATGACGAGCACGATGCTCTCCCTCGAGTCGCCACGAGCAGACGGCACCACTGCCACAACTGTCGTGCCCCGCACCTCCCCATCGAAGTAGCTCCAGCTGATGTTGTAGGCTGGCAGGCCCGACCGCTCAAGAGCCGACTGCAGCTGCCCCGCCACACCACCACCACCACCACCAGCAGTAGCAGCAGCATGAGACGATGACCTTGAAGATGATATGTCAGCCGTCGCTTCTTTTAGCTCTTGCCTCATGGCGCCCAGCTGCCGGCTGCTGTGCGATGTGATGAAGCCGTGCTGTGCATAGCCCGGGACGAGGCCGTGCTCTTCGATGACTGTTGGTCTGTCGAATGCGTCGAACATGCTGAGCCAGATGGTGCCTGCGAGGGCCACCAGGAGGGAGATCTGCCACAGACGGGGCGCCAAGAAGGAGGCCACGCCGTCGCGGACAACACCCATGACTTCAACAGACGATTGCTTAATGCGCTGAGGCCATGGCCCTCGGTGTCACGCGGGGCCCGCGGCGCAGGTCCATCAGCTCGAGCGCTCAGACTGGCGACCTTGCCCAAAACCCATCTCCGCTCTAACCCAACTTGGCTCGACCGTCGGAAACGCGCCGCGCCGTTGACTCATCGAAATGATGGATCTGGTGGTTTCCCTGCTGCTCAGGCTTGTCCAGAGGATGATCTACCCAAGGCTGACGTGCTTGGCCATGGTTGTCCTGTTTTCCCTCACGGCGTTGGCCACTCGGCTTCGTCTGGGCGCACAGGAGATTCCGCTGGCCATGCCGTGGACGCCCAAGAGCTTCGTGCAGGAGTACAGCCTGGTGCGGGAGTGGATCTTCGACCGACGGTGGGACGAGAGGGTGGAGTGGAAGAAGCAGGGCAGGTGGCTGCGGAACGGACCGGTCAAGGTGGAGCTGACCAAGGACCGGTTCGCCAAGTTTGTTGGCACGTCGGGCGGGAGTGAGGGGGAGGGCGTGTGGCAGTACAAGCGGCGGATATCGAGCGGGCCGGTGGAGGTCGAGGTGGAGGACGACCCCAACTCGCCCAACAAGATGCTGCTGTACGTGACGGAGGCGAGGACGGGGCTGTTCAACCCTAATGCGGTGCGGTTCGACGAGGGGAAGATCTACCTCATAGTGCCGCCCTTTCTGCCGTGGAACAAGAGGAAGGTCGGGACGTTCACCGTCAAGGCCAAGTCACAGATACCGCTGCTGGACAAGTCAATGAGATAGATGAGGAATGAACGAAGACGGATGGATGATGAATGTGCTGATCGAGTGGAAAGAAAGGGACAAATGGATGGCGTGACGTGTGTGGTTTTCGGTGTCGTCATGAGAGATACATGAGCGATAGATACTGCATGCTTTGACTCACTGGCTGGTCGGTCGGTCATGAGCGTCTGTCTCAAGACATCGATGTGTGTGTGTGTTCCACCATCCATCACCATAAAGTGTCCCCTCCGCACACACAATGCACGTGGCCCCCATCATCACTCAGCAGACACAGCAGCTCCGGGGCATGCATCACCAAGGAGCAGCGCACAGCTCACGGCCATGCGCAACCCACACGAAATCGTCACTTCACCTCTGATCCGATGACTGACTCATGGTTGCCCTTCGTGTACCCAACCAAAGCCTCTCTCTGTGGACTGTCTGTGGCTCTCTCAAATCGCCATCCATCGGTAAAGTGCCTGTGGCTGTCTGTTTGTGAGCATGACAGCAGCACACACATCACCGAGAACGAGATAAGAGATGTATGTCACAGAAATGCGGACGACCAGACAGACAAGGTAGAGGGTGGATGGGATGGCTCTCTCGACGACACGACACGACACGACACGACATGACATGACACATCACACACGGCCCGGCCCACCGACCCATCGACCGACCAATGAGACCTGCAAGCAAAGCAAGTACACACAAACAACCCGACCACATAAATGGAAATGCAGCCTCCACACCAAAACAGCATCCATGTAGCGTGTAGCCTCCCTCCCCTCCCCTCCCCTCCGTGTCCGTCTGCCCGCCCTGCCAGAAACTGGGGCCATCAGCCAGCCAGCCACAAATCGATCGGTCCACACTGACGGCCCCGACAGTCTCTCTCTCACGATAGAGCCATTCTACAGCCCAGCCAGCCACACAGAGAGTGAGTGGATTGTGCGGCGGGGGGAACAACAGCCTACCTACCTACCTGCTGACATGCCTAGCTCGCCACAAATCAGTCAGCACGTTGCATGGATGATAGTCGATCAATAAAATACCAACCCTGTCTGTACACTTAATGCGTGTGTGTACGCGCGAAATAAAGCCCCTCCCCCTCCCCCTGCCCCCACCAGGCAGGTGGTGAATAAAAGCGGCCCCACATGACATGCTCACACGTCACGGTCGGTGGACAGAGGCAGGCAGGCAGAAGCGCGGGGGAGCATTCTTCCCCGCGCACCACACAGCCGCCAGTCCACCCACCCACCCATGCCACTCACACGCATTCACACACAAAGGCCTCTTGCCCCGCCGTGTGATTATGCAAACTCTGGTAAAGCGACCCCTTCCCTCCCCCCCACTCCCATCCCTCTCCCCAAATCCACACACAATGTGTCCACAAAAGTCATCCGACCACCGCGCGTCAAAAAGGGCGCGCGCGAGAGACCAGGACCAGGACCAAGACGCATACATAACTGACGGTGCTTACACATCGGTGGGCGAAACCACGGTGGGATTGGAGGTGGGAGGGCAGCCGTGGCGCTCGCTGTCGACCAGGCAAGAGGTCTGCTCCCTGCCGGCCGCCCGTGCGTCGCGCCGCTGCTTCCTCTGCGCCCTCTTGGTTGCCTTCCGCTGCTGCCGCAGTTTCTCCAGCTCGGCCTCTCTGACGGCGGCTCGGTGCTTGTTGAGAGCGATGAGCGTGGAGGAGGTGAGAAAGGCCACACCGACTATGGCTATGGACAGCACCACCTGACAGACAGACATACATGGCAGTAAGTAGGGGATGTGTGTGCTGTGCTGTGCCGTGCTGTGTGCCTTGTGTGGATCGTGTGGATTGGGTGGTTCGTTGCAACGGTTGGCTCACCTGCACGCCCACGCGCAGCCCCGCCTCATCTCGGATGACACCGGGCAACAGACTTCCTGAAAGGAGGAAGGCAAGCAGAGACACACAGATAGTGGTTGGTACTCAAAAGAGAATTTCTGTGTGTGTAAACTTGTCTGTCCGTCCGTCTGTCTGCCTGTCTGTTCGTTCGTACCCAGCGGGTATCCGACGACGTTGTAAACGAACATGGAAATGCTCGCCGCGCACGGCCGGAGGTATGGAGGCACCGACTGGATGATGATCCCTGACAGACCCCAGACACACACACACACATACACATACACATACACACGTGTGTCAACAACGGCCTCTCAGTGAGCGCGCGGCTGGTGGCCCGGGTGGTCACGTACCTGTGATGGTAGGAATGATGGCCCCGCCCAGCACCAGCAGGCACCATATCAGAGCAATCGCGCCGCCAAACGAAGGCATGAAACCGGCAGACAACGCTGGACAACACAAACACACACACAAACACGCACACACATGCACCCCTCCCCCCTCTCCCCGCCCCAGCCAGGCAGCCAGTGTGCTTGCTTACAGCAGATAGCGGCAAGTATGCCTGAGACGGTGCAGGCCACCAGCGCCCTCACGGTGCCGTAGGTGGTCGCATAGCCGCCCAGCCGGTCGACCAGCACGCCGCCCAGCACCACACCGAGTGTGGGCGCGGTCAGCACGACGGCCGAGAAAGTGGCTGTGAAGGTCCACTCTGACATCGTGTAGTACTCCAGAAAGTACACCTTGGCCCAGTACTGAATGCCTGTGGGTACACATATGGGGTGTGAGGGGATGGTGGATGTTTCTGTTTCTGCTGCTTGCTGGCCTACCCGTGACAACGATGAACAACGCACATTTGGCGCCAACAGTCGACACGTAAAGACCCGTTCTGAAACAAAACCACCACACACACACACGTATGCATACATGCACACATCCATGCACACACCTGGCCGCACCAGCCTCCCACTTACCGTAAGAGAATCCACACTTGTTGTCTGAAGCCAATCCGCGGCGTGGCCAGGTCGAAAGGCGACGCCATGACGTCGCGCTGCCGCTGCTCGCCCCCGCTCCCGCTCCTCTCGAGGTCAGTGGGCATCCTGGGCGGTGGCTCGGTGTCCGTGGGCAGCCGGGGGGACATCATCGCCGCCGCAAAGTCATACAAGTTGGATGTCGACTCTTGGATGCGCAGACCCTGATGAATGCGATGGCGATGGGCGACACACACGAAAGGATTTATGTGGGCAAGGTTAGGTGGGCTGGTGTGTCCCATCCTTCTGTCTGTCTCACCGCGTAAACCATGCTGGTTTCGCTGTCGCTCTGTTGGTCGGCCTTCCTGTCGTCGCTCGGCGGCTCCCTCCCCAAGGACATGGCCCCGTCGTCCAGGACGCCGTTCGACAGCTGGGGACACGAGCTCCCCCTCTCCACCACCTCACAGGGCGTGCCCCCCGACAAAGGCGTGACTGAGTCAGACCTTCTCGCACACTCCTCGTCTGAGGCAGACGCTGCGGTGCCCTGCGTGACCGTCGGCTGCACCAGCATCGGGTCAGGCGACCGATGAACCCATGGCGGCGTCTTGTGCGTGTCGTCGGGCAGCGTCAGCGTTGCCGATGTGGCCACTTCTTGCGTGGGTAGGTCTGGCTCAGACACGGACACGGACACGGCGGACAGCTGAGGGTCTTCAGGGAGTGACGGAAGGGTGGGGGTGGGCGGCTTGCGGCTGGTGGTGGTGGCCAGGGGGGAGGTGGCCGATAGCAGGGGGAGACGGTCGACACGCCCAAAGCTCGAGGGGCTGTTGACTGACGCTGCCAGCTGAATGAGCGAGACACCGCGCAAGACACAAGACACACACGAACGTTTGTTTGAAGACACATCATGATGGTGGCATGGCACGTGTGATGTGATGTGGAATGCATACCCTCAGCTCGGTGTAGACCGAGTTGCACGGCGAAGCCACAAAGAAGCCAGAGGGGATGGGCGGCGTCCATTCGCCAATGCCGCCGATGCCCTCCCCCCCAGCACCACCCCCCCTGCCTCCCTCGATCGCTCCACCCTTGGTCTCTGCCTGGCTGCTACTGCTTGATGGGGTGCTCTGCTGGGCACTGCTCTGCTCCATGGATGCCTCGAGGAAGGTGCGGCGGAGTGGGTGGCCACCCAGGATGACGTCGAAGCTGCCGGGCTCGCTCCCGCTGCCCGACGGAGTGGGAGTCATGTCGCTGGAACAACGTACACAGAGAGGGAGAGGGAGAGGGAGGGAGCGTAGCACACACGCACATGACCATCCAGATGGTGTGGGCGGGAGAGTGCCCACATGGGCGACTTACAGTGATCGCGACCGTGAGGCCTTGGGAATCGGATGTGCGCCGGGCGAGTCGGTCCTGGCCCGCCTTATCGCACAGTGCTCTAGCTCCTCCGTCGCTGCCCCAGCCGCCTCGCCCCCCAGGTGCGTCTGGGATCTCTGCATGCCCTGCGCCATGGGCCACAGCCATCCTCGCTGGTGGTGCGATGATGGGGGGGTCGATGGGGTGGGTGTCTCCTCGGGTGTAGCCGCTTGGTGGATGGTGTGTGTGGTTGGGGGGATGGGCGAGGTGGGGGAGGTCGGGGAGGCCAGTGCGGGGAGGGGCTCGGGGGCAGGCTGTGGCAGGCTGCTCGGCGGTGCTGGCTGCACACACAGATGGCCGAGGGACACGCAGAGGAATGGATGGAGAGAGAACAGGTGACTGCCCCCCTCCCTCCCTCCAACCTGTTCGTTAACAGCCGCACCGTCCATAGCAGCAGCAGCAGCAGCATCGAGGTCCTCCCTGCTCATGAAGACCGTGTCGTCGTCGTCGGTAGCGTCGCTCCTTCTGCGGTCCTTGCCTGTCAGCGGCTGCTGCGAGGCGTCTGGTAGATTGATGTAGATGTGCTTGATTGGGATGAGGATGGCCGTCATGGTGAAGAGGAAGAACGACTGGATGCCGATCGACCACCTCCAGTTGAGGCCGGAACTCACAACCGCCTCAACCAGCACGTACCCCAGCTGTGCGTGGGACAGACAGAGAGGGAGGGAAGAGGGTGATGGGTGGCTTTTTCCTCGGCTCGGCTCTTACCGCGACACCAAACACAGCCGTCGCTTGATTCAGACCCTGCACACAGTGACAGACAGGAAGGAAGCAGAGCAACAACTAACCCATCGGCGAACAATGAACACACACACAAACATCCCCCCACCCACCGGCCCACCTGCCACAGCGTGACCATCCTGAGCGGCGAGAACTCCTCGATCCACACAGTCGCGTAAATGATATAGCACGCCTGCGTGACGCCGATCAGGAACCGCGACGCATACAGCAGCCTCGCAGCGTCCTCCCTGGTGCCGATCTTGGCTCCCGGGCCGTCGTCGCCACCCACCCCTCCGATCCCAGACATGGCCAGCATGAGGCAGGACAGCGAGTTGAGGCCGAGGGAGATGGTCAGAATGAGCTTCTGCCGCCGATACTGCAGCAATCGGGACGCAATGAGGGAGCCGACGGCAAGGCCGAGAAAGGGAAGGGCGCCGATCCAGCCTGTTTGGTTAGGTGGTTTGGTGGAGCGGAGGGAAGAGACAGTGCGAGGCGGAAAATGAATGCGTCTGTGAGTGTGTGTGTGTGTGATGTACCTACCTTGCTCGTAACCGTCGAGTGTGAATTCTTCAGCAATCGACGGCAGCACGGCGGCGATGGCGCCGTTGTCATAGTTGACCCACAGACCTGCACCACACGCACCAACCAGTCCACACACACACACACGAGCCACACCTGCCTGCCCACGCACCAACAGTGAAGAAGACAAGAAACACCACAAGGATGACCCTGACACACACAGACACACACACACACAGACAGACAGACAGACAGACAGACAGATACACAGACAGACATGACGTCCAGTCCTTCAGTGCCTCAGCCCCTTAAGTCCACCCGGCTCGCTCACCTTTTGTTATCCCTCGGGTGTGGTGATGAGGCCTCAGCGGCGGTAAGGGAGGCGAGGTTCGATACGGTGATCTGGAGGCTGCCCTTGTCTGTGTTGCCGTCGGAGGCCGTCGTCCGCGGCGTGTGCGTTACAGGGTGAGGCAATGAGGGCGTTTCCCACCTGCGGAAGAGGGCAGGATCACTGTCCTCCGTCGGCGGAGGCGAAGCCATGTTGTAAGAAGCAAACGACGCGAAGATTCGCAATTGTAAGCTCGCAGTGGGAATTCGATCGGTTTTTGCTTGTGATGAAGGTGGGGTGAGATGACGCAGGGAATGACTCGAGATCTGCACAGGCAGTGTTGAAAGCGATGACTGCCGAGTCGCCCGGATGGATGCACGACACATGGAGATGGCCGAGGGCGCTCGTATTGCTGCTTGCTGTGGTCGTGATGATCTGCCCGGCCGTCTCGCAGATGATGTCTGCAGAGTCATCGAGGTGAGACGAGCGAAATGAATCATATCACATCACTATGGCTAACGTGCATTTCTAATGTGTTTGTCACTGCGTGTGTGTTGTCTGTGCTGCAGGTTGTTGATAGAAGACATGTACCGCCACGCGTGGACGTCTTACGTGGAGCATGCCTTCCCTGCCGACGAACTGCAACCCGTCGCGTGAGTGAGCCATCGACAGTCAGACAGTCAGACAGACAGACGTCCATGCGCCGCTTATTCCCTTCCCTCTCTCTCTCTGGTCAGGTGCATTCCCCGTCTGCACCGCACTCGGGGCGCGATGGACTCGATCATCGCCAATGTGTCGCTCACGGCCGTCGACGCACTCGACTCGCTGCTGGTAGCTGATGTCTTGTCTGTGCCTGTTGGCCTGGATGTATTCTTGTGTGTGTGTGTGTGTGTCAGATTTTCGGCTATGAGGATGACTTCAGGCGAGTGGTGCAGCACATCATCGCCAACGTCACATTCGATAAGGTCAGATCGGCCAAACACGACAGCAACCATACACCCATCATCACACGGTCTGCTGTTCCTTCGTGTGTGTGTCTACGTGTGTGTGTGGGTGAAGGATTTGGAGGTGTCCACATTTGAGATGAACATTCGTGTGCTGGGTGGGCTCATATCGGGACACCTGCTGGCACTGGCATCTCCCAAGCTGCTGCCCGAGTACAAGGTCCATCCATCGCACGCACTCTCTCTCTCTCTCTGTGCACGGAATGGATGTGTGTATGTGTGAATCGCAAAGGGCGAGCTGCTGGTGTTGGCTGAAGATTTGGGTCATCGGCTGGCCAGGGCGTTCGAGTCGCCAACCGGCATCCCTTTCACACGGGTCGGTGGGTGGGGTGGGTGAGGGGGTCATGTGCATCACAAATAAGCCAGCATGTCAACGCGCAGGAGCAGACGTTAGAATTCTCTTGTCTGCTGTCCGGCACGTGTGTGATCGAGTGTGTGCAGGTGAACTTGCGTCGAGGCGTGTCGCGCAACGCCCCCCGGCGGACGTCGGTGGCCGAGGCGGGGACGTACCTGATGGAGTTCGGGATGCTCACGGCACTCACCGGCAACCAAACATTCTACGTGACCGACCGAGGGCGGGATGCACACTCACTCACTCACTCACTCACCGACCACCCTTCCTTCCTTCCTTGATGCGTGTGCAATTCTCTCTTTGTCTTTGTGTGTGTGGATGTGTGGATGTGCAGATGTTGGCAAAGCAGTCGTCCATCGCGATATTCTACAGACGGTGGGTGTGTCAAGTCGAGACGAGGGGAAAACATCTCACTCACTCACTGGTTGTGCATTGTCATTGTGTTGTTTGTTGTGATCTGGTCCCCCTCCCCTCCGCTCCTCTCCCCTCCCCTCGCCCAGGTCGTCGTTGGGTTTGGTGGGGAGTGTGGTTGACGTCACCAGCGGTGCCGTCATGGACGGCACCTCCACCATCGGACCGAACTGCGACTCTTTCTACGAGTCAGTCAGTCGGGCAGACAGGCACCTGACCTACCTGCACGTGACCTCGCCCATGCGTGTGTGTGCTGCTGCTTTGCCAGGTATTTGCTCAAAGCTTACTTTCTCTTCGATGATCGAGAGCTTTATGACATGTTCCAGCCGGTCTGGGATGGGATACACACAACCATCCAATGTCTCTCGTCATGCAGATGTCGTGTGTGAATGGTTCGTTGTCGATGTGTGTTCAGTTGGCCGAGGCCATCGACCGGCACCACCGCTTCGAGGGTTTCTACTTCAGCACCGACGCCTACAGGGGCACGTGGCTGCACCAGCAGGTCTCGCCACTCGCCGCCTTCTGGGGAGGCACACAGGTCCCCACTCACAGACAACACGCAGCCCAACCAATCGGACACTCACCATCCATCCGTCAAGTGTGTAGTGTGTTGTGTCTACCAGGTCTCGTTGGGTGATCTGTTGGGTGCGTCGGCCACTGCCCACTACTGGTATGCCCTCTGGCGCATCCACGGGGCTCTCCCAGAAGGTAACCAACCCCTCCCTCCCTCCCCCTCTCTCCCGATTCACGTCTTGTGTTGTGTGATTCTCCCTGCACAGGGTTCGACGTGGAGTCTCTGCGCGCCCTGACCCACCTGCGGGACTCGCCCCTGCGCCCCGAGCTGTACGAGACCAACTACTACGTCTACCAGGCCACCAAGCTGCCCATACACATGACCATGGCGGAGGAGTACGCCGCCCAGATCAACAACAGGAGCAGAGTGGCGTGCGGCTTCGCGTCGATCAAAGGTCACGTGGGGCAGAGGGGGGAGGGGCGAGGGGGGTGAGCGTATCGTGTGTTGCTTTGTGTGTGGTGTGTGGTCTGTGGTGTGTATGTTGTTGGTTGTAGATGTGAGGAAGGAGGGGTCTCATGATGAGAGGATGGACAGGTGGGGGGGTGGGTGGCCTGCATGCTTGGAGGAAACATGTGTGTGTGCGTCTGTCTCTCCGCCTGTTTATCGTTGTCCAGCTACTTCCTGAGCGAGACCCTCGTTTACCTCTACCTCACCGTCACGCCACCAGCCGTCATCGACCAACGGGTACACACACACACACACACACAGAGGAGATGGACCAGCCTCCCTTCCCTCCCATACATGCAGCTGCCCTTCCCCCTGGCGCACACCGTCTTCACGACGGAAGGCCACCTCTTCCCCGCACCACGACTCATCCCGCACCTGCTGCCAAACGGCACCGCACGCTTCAGCACCACCAACAGCAGCAGGGCCGACAACCACACAGACGGTGGTGGTGGTGGTGAGTATGGCCGTGGCGAGCAGCAGGTGCATCCGATGGGCTTCCACAAGTTCATTGTCAACCTGCCACCGGCCCTCGTCGAGACAAGACCCGTCGACAAGTCAGTCAGGAACCACACACACAGAGAAGAAAGGAATCCACACACGGAAACAAGCGTGTGTGTGCGTGTTGTATACTTAGGTGTCCGAGAGTGTCATTCCTGGACCACGAGTCATCCGCCGCCCGCAACGACGTCGTGTGGGTCCCCCGCGCGCCCACCTCCGCCCTGTCCCGCACCACGCACACCAAGTGCCACCACGAGATGGCCTTCGCGACGGTCGTCATCCGCCCTCCAGTGCCGCTGGACGGACCCAACGACTTCGCTGACGACCCCTCGTCGCCAGCCCCCTTTGCCCTTCACGTCAAGGGCACCGCCACGAGTGGCTTCACCGGCGCGGTGCCGCCCTTCCCGGTGTCACAGATGTATCACGTCAGCGGCAACCATCGCGTGTTCTGCCCGTTTTACCCCAACCCGCCACTGCGAAAAGCGAGGGAGGTGCGTGGGAGTGGGGTCGGCGACGGGGCGTGCGCGTGCCGCTGGTGCGCCTGCAATGGGGAGCAGGATGGTGGGGAGGAGGACGGGGAGGGGGAGAGCTGCCACGTCAACGAGACGCTCCCATCCCATGAACTGGTGGCTTCATGCGGCCACCGGCTGATCGACGGAGATAGGTTGGTGCTGTGGGACGGTGGTACTGGTGGAGGGTGTGTGGGGTGCTACTGCTGCCGACACGGCGGCGCGACCAGGGGCTCTGCGCGGTGCCAGTGCGAAAACGGCCTGGTGGCGCCGATGTGCCACTGCCGATGCCTCAATCGGACTGAGAGTGACGCTGACGCCATGGCGGTGTGCGGCGACACCGGCGAGATCCGCTCTGTCCCCCTCACCTCCCTCGCCCATCTGGAGGTGCCCCTGCTGCCTGGCGTGCCGTCCTTTCTGCTCGACCGACGGGGCCCGATGATGAAAGGCGGAGACCATCGATCACAGCACCACCAACACCACCACCACCACAGGCACCGACAAGAGCCATCAAGCCCAGACCAAGGGCAGGAGGAGCACGGCAGTAGCTACCGGTCGTGGATGGGCAGCCTGCAGCACCGGTTCGCCTACTGCTTCGAGCCGCCCGACGTCTTTGACTGGTTCACCTGGACCATCACCGGCACCTGGCGGCGGGACCCGCGACACAACAACCACCATGGCGATCGTGGCGACGGCTATGATGACACCTCTCCAGTCTATTCGGCCGACGAGATCGAGGCCGTCGACTGGCGGCTGTCGGTGAGGGCGGCGCAGATGTGTCTTGCGAATGCGACCAGGGGAGGTGACGGTGGGGGGCTGTGGCGTGGGGTGAGGGTGGGGAGTGTGTCTCAGCTGCCGCCTGACCACACGCAGGGCGACGAGGGGCTGTCGATTGTCAGAGGCAGGCGCTCCATCAACACGTCAAGGTGAGTAGTGAGAAAAAGCCAGACATACCTGTGACGCCCATTGGGTATCTGTCTGTCTGTGTGCAGGCGGCGCGTGACGCCCGGCAAGGGCATGGGCGAGTTCCGTTTTGACAGCCCCAGCGAGGCGACACTTGCCTTTGGGCGGCCTGTGGTGATTGCTGACCCGTCTGAAGCATGCACGCCCCTGCAGACGACCGACGATCGGCCGTTTGCCTACCTGAACAAGGTAGGTCTGTCATACCGAGAGAGAGGGCCCTTCAATTGTGCATTGATTGTGTCATGACTTACTTGGTGTGTGTGCACAGGTAGTGTTGATAGAGCGTGGCTCATGTCTGTTTGTCGATAAGATCAGCGCGGCGGAGGACGCCGGCGCCGCTGCTGTGCTCATTGTCAACTACCCTCACAGAAAAGGCAAGCCAGCCACGCTGCCCACACACACAACCACACAGGGAGGGCCACAGAGGGAGAGGGAGAGGGCTGGGGTTCCATCCACTGCTGTCTGTGGGCGGACGTATGTGTGTGTGCAGCTCAAGTGATGACGGGCCCCGCGGCCCAGCCGGGTGTGAGCGGCCCACAGGTGCACATCCCCGCGATCATGATCTCTGCCGAAGATGGCGACACTATACGGTCAGCCAGGCACACAGGCACTCACAGACAGACAGACAGACAGACAGACAGAAGCTGTCCACCATCCCCCTCATTATCCCTCGTGGCCGTATGTCTGTCTGTATGTGTGTGTGCAGGGAGCTGGTGTCATCTCTTGGTGACTTCATCTCTGTCCACCTGTATGCGCCGCCCAGGCAGACGTCACACATACTCGGGCAGCGCAGGAGGGCCGTGCGCAGACGACACGCGGCACGATCAGCAGCCAACGCCTGACGACGAGCGCAGCGTGTTGGGTCGCTGTGCTGTCTGTACGTGCTGCCGATCGGCTGTGTACCAGTATATTGAAATTCTTGCCTTCCGCTGCGTATGAATCAGCGGCGACGCACGAAATGGTGGCGGGTGACGTGATCCCCGCTCACCCTCCCGTGATCCGGCGCTACGTGATGCGCAACAAAAGGGATGGATGGATGGATGGATGGACGCAAGAGTGAGATACGTGTTGTGTGCGTGTGGATGTGCGTGGTGGACTGACTGAATCTCTTCAAACCGACCGACACACAGAAAGTCCGTATGTACAGTACGAACATGCTCCTTACTGCGCTGCACAGATCAGATCTGTCCAACCCATCCCCCCTCCCCCCCATGTTTCCCCTTTGCTTCTGCTGTTCTAACGGGTTGAGAACTATCACCTTGCTACGGCAGTATCACTCCCGACCTGTGTCTGATCTCAGCGTCCCCCACCTCCCCCACAAAGAAGTGCCGCTGCTCCAGTGCATCTACCCTGCTGCCGCTCTCCTCCATCGACACACACATCACCGGCCGCATCGCCGCGCCCTTGACGCACAGCAGCACCGCCCCGACAGCCAGAATGACGCATACGGCCAGCATGGCGTCGAGCATGACGGCGTGGTCGTTGAAGGGCCCCTGCTCGTACTTCTTGCCCTTCGGCAGCAGCGTCAGTATCAGGATGAGCAGCCCGTTGAGCAAAAGGCCGGCGAGGAACACATGCGGCAGCTTCTCGCTGAAGGAGAAGGCCAGGCAGCAGAGCAGGCTCAGAAACACCACAAACAGGATGACGAAGAGGCCGGTGCCGACGCCCAGCACACGCGCTGAAGCTGCAGACGCCGCCAAGAGCAACATCATCTTGTGAAATCCGAGACGTGCCGCGGCTGGAAAAGAAACAAAGCGGCCAGGAGATCTGCAGATCTGGCCAGCTAACCAACGATGGCACCAGAGATCTCTCCAGATTTCATCGCATTCATAGTCGTGTCGGCGGTGTCGCTCAGAATCACACACACACACACACACGCACAAGTCACGCACTAGCAGCTGCATTGGATGCCCAAATATCTCGCTGGACGCACCCAAATCCGATTCGACTCGCTGCTGTCGTGTCCAGCCCCCGCATGACATGACCCCGATCACCTCATCTATCCCATGCATCAATCATCTCATCAACCATCCGTACCTACCGTACACGCGCGCCCTACTATCCTATCCGCCATCCATCCATTCAGCCCCACAGTTGCTGCTAAGGCAGGTGCAGCCTGACGTGGTACATCTTGCCCCAGTTCTTGCCCGTCACCAGCACCTCCCCTCGCCGCTCGTCCACCGTGGCGATGCCATTGAAGCTGCCGTCTGTCCGCCGCCGGTGAGGCGCCAAAGGAAGACAGGAAAAGTCCCAGAACGACAACACTCGGCCGGTCGATGGATCGATCTGTAAGATCCACTTGGTGTACCACACGTTTGCCAGCAGAGACCCGCGGAACCACTCAAGCTCATTGATCATCCTGCAGACAGACAGCGAAAAGGAAGGGCATCAGGCCGCTTGGTCGTCTGTCCCTTCGGCCGTTAAGTCATTCCTGAGCCAAATGAACCGTGTGCTCACGTGATGGGTTTGCTGTCTTTGTCTCGGACATTGATGGACTTGACGACGCGAGCGGGCCGGCCTTGGTCGTTTCCATGGACGAGAGAGGAGTCCCAGAAGTCGAGCTGGCTGGAGCCGTCAGACACAATCAGGTGACGACTGTCGGTCGTGATGCCCCAACCTACACACACTCATGGATAGAGAAACAGACGGCTGGCAGGCAGGCAGGCAGGCACATCGATGCACCTCCCCCTTCCCCTCCCCGCCAATGTTGCTCACCCTCGCCTGTGGTCGTTTCGAAGGAGATCTTGTGGAGAGGCCTCAGCTCTTTGTCCCAGACGATCGCCTGCTGCTCCTTCCACGTCAGCTGCACCAACCTATCTCCCACAGCACAAATGCCCTCGCCGAAGTAACGCGGTGGCAAACGCCGCTCCATCACTTCTGGGCCCAATAACGATTCTGAAGGCCGGTCGTCGTCGATAACGGCGACGGACCTCCTGCCGCTTTCGGAGCTCGAGAGGGGTATAGGGGCGGTGTGGTGGTTTTGGTCACCAGCCAGAGAGACCGATGGCCGGAGAGCCGACAGGATGTTCATCCAGCTGGTGGGCCGCATCTCTGATGGTGAGGGGAGAGGCCCGGCTGGCGCATCTTTGGTGAGCCTCCGGGCAGTGATACGGCTCCTTCCCCACATACCTACGCACACACCGAGGCACAGACAAGACGACTGAATGAGTGAATGAAGGCCCCCCACCCCACCCGTTGTTGTGTGTGGACCGGACCTGTGCTCTCGTAGAGCTTCCCGTCGAGCGTACACAGCCCCTGGGTGAAGTCCCTGGGGTTGTGCTCACACACGCCCAACACCTCAAAGCCACACGGCTCCGGCAGGTGCACCTCATCCACGTCACCGTCCACCGTCTCCATACTCCTCACTCGAGGCCTCTCTTGGGTGGCGGCCTTCGCAGACATCACAGAAAGGAGCGGCAACGCAGCAAGGGGCACAAAGTGGCGCCGCGGGACGGTGCGGCGCGGTCCGCCTTGGGTGCGGGGAAGGGAGAACAGGCGCTTGGGGTAGTGAGAGGCGCATCGGTCGGTGGAGAGGCGGATGAAGGAGAGGGCAACTGACGGCACTCTGAATGCATGCAGCAAAGCTGGTAGAGCCAGCATGTGGGCGACAAACATCAAGCTGACAGACGGATGCACGTGCCTGCACACACAGACAGAGCGTAGATCAGATGTTCAGATCTGATGTGCAGATCTGAGCGGATCTTTCGTTCACCTTTGAAGGACGGTGCAGCAGGTGCATGGATAGATCATCCAAAGGGCATTTCGCGCGTGTGAGAATGGAGCTGCCTAAGCTCGCGCAGGGGAGCGGTTTCACAGAATGTCCTAAGCGGCCTGACGGCCAAGTCCCATGTCTTTCACGCACAGTCTGTGCGAAAAGGCCGGTGAGGACCTTTCCTGTAGTCAGCTGAATAGAGGATCTGCTGGGCGGTAAGTCCCAGAG